GCAGCCAGACATTCTGATAGACTATGTCCATCTGAACACGCCGAACGCTTGTCTGTACATAACTTTATTTGTGGCCAGTTGGACGGTTCTGGTTGAGACTCAGAACCTATGCAACATTGGCAAGTTTGAGAAGAAGCAGACTCGATCGCTGGGACAATATGTTTATTTGCCTGACGTTTCGCATTGACAATTTTACTGGACAGTGGGAATTATTAAGCGATCCCCCTTATTGTACTTTTGCGTTGGTTTGGGAGTTTGACAGATTTGCCTAATTCATTTGACCCAGTTGTAAACAAACTCGACGCGCTCTGCGGGATTGGAACCCACATAGTAGAGAAGGTCTATACGCAAAGCCAACGCACTTACCAATTGAGCTACAAACGCAACACCTCGCGCCATGAATTTAATCACACCTAGGTTGATTTTACCCGCCAAATTTTACCGCTCCTATGTAATCCACTAATGCAGAACAGCAAACTGTCTCCTAGCAGATTTTCCTAGCCAATCATCCAGAATCAAACAGAATAACCACTAGACTCACTTTATTGTTAGGGAGCTTGACAGATTTGCCTTTACCGGCTAAAGAATGTGGGCTCGCAGCAATTTGTTCTGATCGACGATAGGTTACTCAGTAGAGTAACTGTCCCTGAAAACCTACTTTTTGTTTTTTAATACAAGGAAACATTGTAGTGATTACAAGTTGACCAAATCAATGGGGTTTACCTGACGGCTTGTTTTTCTACAGTGCACAGTGCCGTCCATAGGACACAGACATGAAGCTAATTACATCTGGAGAAACGGCCTATATGCCAATTATTTTAATATGGTTTCTTTTGCGATAAATGTAGAACAGCAGCCCGAAAGGAATACTGTTGCGTTAAACATTCCAACCGTGCTGTCCTTCTCAAAGAAGGATGGTGTGAGACTGCTCCATAGTAACCGCGAGGCCATATGCATGCCCAAATTAGTAGCTCCCACCATTATTGATGGGGGTTATAATTGATAAGATGCTGGTTTGGCATAGTGCGTCGAAGTCGTTAATGGCCGCGATTTCATCAGGTGTATTGCACGCTGGCGGGATAATTACGCGGCCACTGCGATTGTAGGTGTGGGCCGGCGCCCCCCGTCCCCTCCCGTGAGAGATTCGCCAGGTCAGGCAACGTGTCAACACGTTATTTGGGAACCGGAGGCCAAGACGCTTATCTACGGACTGCGTGCTGGTTAAATAATCACTCGCGGGTTCCTTTCAAGTGAACTGCATCCTAAAAGCTAGCGTCAGCCCTCGTCTTAAGTTTCACGAGGCCAAATCCTCACAAGAGGTGACAGTCACGTAAGCCGCGAGTCATGGTTCTGTAGGAATCCGTGGCCCAGAGCAGCTGCGCTGACTCATGCTGCCTTTCGGGGACTGAGCTTCGCTCGCTGTGTGCTATTGCCCTCTTCCACGCTTGATGTCAACTCAACGCGCATACACTGGTAGGTGATCGGTACTCCTGCCTCATTTGAATGGCGGCAGCCGATTGATTATTCATTGCACAGCCTAACCTTTTCAAATCGCTACTTTTGCACCTGCACGGCTGACTATCGTACGTGGCGCCACTGTAAAGCTTCTTGAGCAGTTAAGTTGTTCGAATCCAATCAGTCTTCCCGGACTTGTTATTTGGGGATCCTTCTGGTCCTCGGACGCGCGAAGAGTAAATCAGTTATCACATGAAGCGCAAACATCTGTGACAAATACGGGATAGATATGCGGTTGCATATCGACCGCATCCTATCAATACTGTAGGACTATGACGAACAGTAGCGCACCATTACCGCTGGGGCGTCATAACTGGTACGATGCTGGCTAGGCAGTCTGCGTCCAGGTCGTTAGTACATGCGATTTCGTCACCCGTGTTGGATAATTACGCGGCAATTTGGTTCGCTTTCATTGTATGTGATGGCCGGCGGTCCCCGTGCGAGATTCCTCTGTTCAGGCAAAGTCTCAGCATAGTATTTGGGAACCAGATGTCAGTAAACTTATTGGTGGACTGCGGGGCTGTGAAGCATCACTCGCAGTTCCCGTCGAGTGAGCTACTAAGTGAAAGCTAGATTAAAACATATTCTAAAGTTTCACTATACCGGTATCTGCGCAACAGATGAAAACCGAGCTGCTCCGCGAGCTCCTCCTGTCACGGTTCTCAGGCGCGTGGACTATAAATCAGCTATCCCATCAAGCAAAAATATATGTGATAACTGCGGGACCTCTATTGCTGATAGGTACGCATTTGCATACCGACTGCATCTTATCAATACTGCGGCATTATGATCAACAGTACCTCTTTCTGTCACTGCCTGTGATAATGAATCTGGGTGTAAATTCATGACCGGCTCCGACGATATCTAGGGCTTGAGAAGGGGAATAGAAGTTGAGGTCGACGTCTAAACGCATTTTCTCTACAATAAACGATCTCATATGGCTGAAATTGCCATGGTGTGCTCAACGGCGGGATCTGGGAAGTTGCAACCCGGAGTAGACTTACACAGGTTTATGATGTACCGGCCGGCTGAGAGTCAGGCCGCGATGACTCGTTAGCATGACTTTTATTACATTCTCAATCCGAGGGATCTGAGCCAATTATTTTGGCATGCCTAGCGGCTCTTCCACTCGCGTCAACCACCTGTGTACTCTTCTGACTCCGGTCTTTTTTGTCTTAGTCATGACACCGGACTCAGATGAGGCAGGAAGAGAAAGCGCGGTAGATGAAGTGCAGGTCACACTCACTATAAGCTAATTCACACGTGATTCCGTCTCTGCCCAACTTGCTCCGGGCCTCACGATGGACCCCATCGGATAAGACGGCCGACATTTGTGAATTCTTAACGCCACGTGTTTGATTATTCATCACCAGGCAATTACAGTACTAAAGTAGTCGCCGGTTATTAGGCCCACGGTTAATAGGCCCAGCCGCTTATTAAGCCCAAATTGGTCTGGGCCCGAGGTGGGCTTAATAACCGGCGACTACTGTATGAAGGAGGTTAGAGTGAACAAAAATTTAGGCATCCAACCAATAGTAAGTAAGGGAGAGAGGTGTTCAGGGCTCAAGGGGTCAGATTATAGCCAAATAAAAGGGCCGGCTAGGTGGTAAGAGGGTGGGGGAAGGCGTCCGACAACTAGTTCAGGTCGGCCCGTCGTCCCTGTCTCGCG